CGTTTCATTAAAATTATACGAGAAAGAAAACGATACGTTGTACCGTTCTCGACTCTAAATCCTTGTTTGAATTCAGTCCCCCCCCCCTCCCGCGCAAAGCGCGGAAGCTTTGACGTTTCATAAACTATTAGAGAAAGAAAACGATTCGTTGTACCGTTCTCGACTCTTAATCCTTATCTGAATTCAGTTCCCCCTCCCCCCCCCCCGTTCTCGACTCTTAATCCTTTTTCTTCCTACGTCCTCTTCTTTCTTCTTTCTATTTTTGTTTTGTTTTTGGTCGGCGTTTTATTTTTTGAGGGGGCGACCGCCCCCACTGCCCCCCCCCCTCCCCTGGCTACGCGCCTGTTTGGTTCTTCATTTGATTCTCTTCCTTCTTTAATTAAACCAACTGAATCCTCTCTGCGGGAAACTCAATTCAATGAAACAGAATATCAATAATGCAAAATTTAGTTCTCAAAATGACAGAAAATTTCTAATCCTGATCTCATACAAACTGTCTGTTTCTTAAAAACATAATATAAAACTTACGTTCCAACTACCTATCAACAAAACTTCCATTATCTCCTTCTTCACCCAGATATACTTATGATACCAGATGAACGCAAAAATATTAAAAATGAAACAGGAACCTACTGGAAAGCATAGCTTGTTTTTGTAGGTTCCCAAGAATAAATATACTATGAACATTATTTTCATAAATCATTTTAAAGTGTCTTAATAATCACAGTAAAATAGATATAGTATAATAACATATTTTCATAAACCATTTCAAAGTATCTAAATAATCAAATTATACAAAAAGGAAAGAATGACAAAACGGGACACAAAGGACTGGAAACTGACATAATAAGATAAAACAAGACATGACATATTGCGAGTAATAACTATTCATCGGGCTCTCATCATTAATATTTCTCTTCATTTTTTGTTTGTTTTTTATGGTGAATTATTGGGGGGGGGGGCTGATTGTACAGGTCATCCCCCATCTGAAATATTTGGGGAAAACTGAATTCAGACAAGGATTAAGAGTCGAAAACACTACAAGAACGGAATTCAGCCGAGGATTAAGTGTAATTCACTCATATAGCACCATTTCTATGGAATTCCCTCCCAAACTCATTACGTTGTATATCTAATATTGAAACATTCATATCTGAACTAAAAACTCATCTATTCAAATTAGCACATCAATAGTATTTAAGGATAAGTAATGTTATAATTTTTCTTTTTGTAAGCACTTCATTGTTTCCTATTATTGTTTTTGTTTCATCTTCCTTTTATGATCGTGTTATACTTTATATAATTATGTAAATTGTAAAGCGCATTGAAATGTCAACAGACATGAAATGTGCTATAAAAGAACAAATTATTATTAATTAATTTAATGAAACGACGAAGCTTCCACGCTTTGCACGGGAGGGGGAAACTGAATTCAGACAAGGATTAAGACACGAAAACAGTACAACGAATCGTTTTCTTTCTCTAATAATCAAATGAAACGTCGAGGCTATTGCGCTTCGTGCGGAAGAAATAATTTAACTCCTGGCCCCGGGTTTATAGGGTTAGATTTGTAGACATTGTAGACACGCGTGGCAACCACCCCTGTGTTGTTCTTTAGTATTTTCTCAAGCGCTTGAGAATCTTCAAAGGTTTTTGTCGCCGCTCCGACCCCCCCCCCCCCGCCCGAGTGATGTCATCAAGATAAAAGACAAAAGTGTTGATTAAAAAAAGAAAGAAAAAAAAATGACTAATCCTTCGAAAAGTCAAAGATAACTGTTAAAACGAGCCAGTAGCTATATCCAGGAACTGCATTTTCTGGAGAACAGAATTCTACCTCAAAAGGTGATCCCCTCCCCCCCCCCCCGAGTGTGTAATATGCATCCGAAGCCTGTACTTGCCCTTGAAGCTCATCAATATCCACCTTGTATACTACAAATTAAACCCGACGCTGAGTTTCGTCTTGTGTTCAAAACCGGTTTAAACAGTTAGTCTTAAAGGTATAAAGATCTGATCTTAGACATGGATCGGTAGTAAAATACAGATATTCGATAACATTTGCAATGTAATTAGGCCTTCAAATCATCAATTATTTTGTATTTCGAGGAGAATTTGACTACATGAAAAATCATCTCTGATGTGCAAAAAAGGAAAATTAATAATCCATTTTAATATCCGATTTGTATAAATCTATTCAGATTAAAATGCATATTTTTTTTAAACAATTATTATATAGGCCTGCTTTCCTCCTTTATTGTATTACTGTTCATCAAATCGCATTGATTATAGAAACAATTATGTAACAAAAAAAAAACTACTGCCATTGATTGTTTGCACCTACTTGAATAAGAGTTGAATGTCTTCTGTGCCTTGGTTTGGTATCCGGGTTCGATGCTCTACCAACAAGCTGGTGTTTACCCTCGAGAGAAAAAGTGCTCCACCCGGCCGTCTGCAACACAAACTCAGTCTGAACTGATCTTCGCACTATATAATTATGCACTCTGTCGACATCGCGTGAAAACATGGCGCATGTACGGAATTACCGAAGAAGTGCTTACGATATTCATCCGCTATATACGCAAGATAATACATCCCTACTTACCACATCAAAAGAGATCTATTTTGTTTCAGCATAGGCCTATATTGTACACTGTTGTTGAACATTGATCTAATGGGGCTTAAAATGAGGGAGGAAAGTAAAAACTCGTTCTCTGATGAATTACTGAGAGGATCTGCACGATTTGTTTTGTATCGGCAGTTCTGCAGCGATGTCTTTTTTCACAGGCTACTTTAGGTTTTGTTAATCTGTTTTTATTTCATGGAACACAATTAAAATATCGAGCACTTAATCATAATTATAGTTATAACTAGTTCTATTGAATGTGTTGCTGTTGTTAGTTATTCTGTCTTGTATTATTCCACCCGGAATCACTAAATTCCTGCATTTTTTAATGCACTTATCTAGTGATAATATTTATAAGACAGAATGCTGTTGTGAATTAGTGCTATTAAATGTGTTGTTAGTTATTCTGTCTTGTATTATTCCACACGGAATCACTAAGTACCTGCATTTTAGAACCACACTTTCAAAATGCACTTATTCCCTATTGTGAGACAATTACGTTTTTATTGAATAATGTTACTAAGTAGTAATAAGTACTAACTTAATGTTACGGATATACTTGATGTAGAAGTAAAGCATCGACGAAAATACCTCCTTTGTTTACTATGTTATTAAAGATCGACCGTGGATGGGGCACTATAATTTTAAGTCATTGGATGATGAGTTTCCCAAAGCAGAACGCCGACAGGAGGCCGTCCTCTCTCGTGCAAGTTTCAACTATATCCACCTCTATAGAATTTGGAGTTGAGAGAGAGAACCAATCGAGCCTGGTCTCTTTGTTTTTTTAAATTTCATTTGTACACGTAAATTTATAAATTAATAAATGAATTAAAAATAAAAAAAGAAATACATAAGTGAATAGTGAATAAAAACACGCTGTTATTAGAAAGGGCTTTTTTTTCTAGCAAATCCGTATAGATATAAAGCTTAAAAATGTATTCCGAAATGTAACAACATAAACCATCGATACGAACAAACCCTATTTCCTTACCATTCTGAATATTTCTCCCTTTTATAACAAGAGCGAGCCTCTTAGAGGATATAGTATTGATAAAGACCGTCATATCAATTTAAATACCGTCATTAAAACAAAAATATTTCAGATATGACAAAGTTGTTGCATCCGATAGTTCCAATTCATTTTCGGCTTGCCTCGTAGTTTTGCAATATCATCCAAATTTAGCTAAACATATTAAAGTTAAAAAATGTAACATTTAAGCTATGCCCTCACTACCCAACAACCTTCCAAACGATCTATACATCCATCAATAACTCAGTGGCGGATCCAGGGGGGGGGGGGGGGGGGGGGGGGCCCGGCCCCCCCCCCCTTGAGAAAAAAAATCATGCAAAATCACGCGATTTTTACCTTTTTTGGGGGTTGGGGCCCCCCCCCTTGGCGCTCAAGGGGGGGGGGGGTGTGCAAATTTTAAAATTTGCTCACTACCCCCCCCCCCCCCACTGAGCGACTTTTCGGCCGGCGCGATTTTCAAATTTTCGGGAGCAAAAAAAAAAAAAAGTTGGGCCCCCTCCCCTAAGAAATCCTGGATCCGCGCCTGAATAAACTACTCAACTAGTTAATCAATCAATTGATCAACCAATCAACTAGTCAATCGATTTCATCAATCAGTCAACAATATTAAGCAATCAATCAATCACCAAGTCAGTCAATCAATCAATACAAAATTAATCAATCAAAATTGAATTAATCAATTAACCATTCAGTCAGTCTGTCAATCAATCTTATCAACCAACCAATCAATCAACTTTTTAACCAATCATTCAACCAATCAATCAATCTCATCGACCAATCAATTTCATCCATCAACCAATCAATCAACCAATCAATTTCATCCATCAACCAATTAATCAACCAATCAATCAATTTCATCCATCAGCCAATCATTCAACCAATCAATCAATCTCATCGACCAATCAATTTCATCCATCAACCAATCAATCAACCAATCAATCAACAGTCAATCAATCAACCAATCAATCAATCTCATCGACCAATCAATCAACCAATCAATCAATCTCATCAACCAATCAATCAACCAATCAATCAATCTCATCGACCAATCAATCAACCAATCAATCAATCTCATCGACCAATCAATCAACCAATCAATCAATCTCATCGACCAATCAATCAACCAATCAATCAATCTCATCAACCAATCAATCAACCAATCAATCAATCTCATCGACCAATCAATCAACCAATCAATCAATCTCATCGACCAATCAATCAATCAACCAACTAACCAAACAGTCAATCAATCAACTGACTATTCAACACTCCATGGTTTTGTTGTTTTGATGCCACTCATTGACTTCATATTTTGACGAGAAATCAAATAATTTTTTTCTTTTCTTTAATGGAAAAGTGTGTATTTTTCTTAAAATATAATCAAAAGCTACGCATACATCATATATTTTCTATATATTTAAGATATATTAAAGATATACATAATCTTAAGGGATAAAATAACAGTACGTAGAGAAAATTCCGGAAGTATTGCCTATTTTATAATTGAACATAATTATATATCGCAAATTTTAAAAAGGCGTCTGAATAAGACAAATTAGCTAAAGACGTTCGTTACTCATGCAGTCTGCTGTAAACATTGTACAGTACATGTTTTTAATAAATCCAATGAGAAGGTAACGTCTTTATAACGCATTGTCCTCTAAAGCCCACATGAATTTACAGTTCTTCCATTACATCTCCTTCCTCTATATACAAGATTGTGCTCCCTAATGCGTAAAACTAAATTTCTTTGTCAAAATAATCATCAGAAGTTGCTAAGTCTATAGTCCTCTAATATTCTCGTATGGTTGCCGCATTGTACACTAAAATGTTGACCATGTTCCAGATAGTCATCATAGTTGAGAATCGACACCATGCATGAACAAAATGAATAAAGATACAACATTATTGTTATGTTTTGCAATAGTAAAATTTAAAAGCAAGACAAAAGTACAATAAACTAAGTAAGACTAAATCATACTGTTAAGTACATCAAATAACAAAGACGTGTACCGCCCTATCTATTCATTAAAACAAATTAAAACGGCGTATAAAAATCATGTTAAAAACGGCTGAGAAGCGCAACCGAGTGACGTACTTTCTTCATCAAAAAACAAAGTGTATCAATCCCATACAATCAATAATACTCTCTATAATCCATTAAACATGTACTCATAAATGGTTATGAAGTATACAGAACACCAACAAATATAAATATTTCTAAAAAATATTATAGTATGTACCTAAACCATGATCATTGCATATTACTTTTGCGATCTTTCTTCATGGACAAAAGCATGAGACATTGTAAGATGAATATATCATAGAAAGACTAAAGTCACGGTAGTATAATTTGACACAACTATAAACATATGATAGAACTGAATTTTTTTTTTTTTAGTTAGGTTACATGACACCTAAACCCAACTACTGGTCAAGGCATAACGAGAATCACATGCATAAATATAAAACAAATCTTCCGATAAAATGAATCGCAACTCATGGTTTAATGTAAAACTTAAAAAAACCCGCTCATACCTTTTTAAGCATCTAGAGACAAATCTGAAAATCTCGACCATAATGTGGTTCATCACACCAATTTCCACTATGATAAGCATATCAATATAATTATCAACACATGCCTGAAGAAAACCGTAAGTAACATGTCTTTGTAACAGTGATATATAAAATAATTTTAAAAAATCCATTATTTTTGAAATGCTGTGAAAACTGCATTTAAGCATTTAAGACAAGTTCTCCCTATGAATTAGGTAAATCAGAACATAAATGCGTCCGAGCATATAGGACCATCGTCATCGTCATCATCATCATCAAAATGCATAAAATGTCATTATTTTTCTTAAAACATTTAAAGAACCCAACACTTTATTGAGAATCTGGTTATATGTTATTCTTTGTGACGTTAATCACACCCTGCTGTAATATAACATTTGCGCCAAATAAAGATAGAAAAAGAAGAGAAGAAACAAAAAATCACGGTAAGATCATTTTAAGCTACACTAAGAGGGGAGGGGTGAAATGAACAGGTGACGTTGCGTTTGCATCATGGGAGGAGAAGAGGACGGGGATTTCTACATTTTCTGCCAACTAATGATGTAGGTATTTTGATGTGCATTTTCTGTATATTCTCTTGACAGGCAAACTAAATCAGACAATTCCCCTTCCTTAAGAACCATTCGCACATTTCTTATTGAGTCATCATTCTATTTATCGACGCATGCATGGGAGAGTATATTATGAAGTGAAAGTGGTGCACTCTTTTGCTTCCGTGTGGCGCGGTTTTTAAACCTTCTCATAACGGCCTTTCTCTCGGGGTGGGTCCGGGTTCGACAGGGGAGCCCTCTCCTCTTGAATGCTCATTTCACCCATGGTACTCTCCTATATGTCACACATGAATATAGAAAGATGGAGAGAGAGAGAGAGAGAGAGAGGGGGGGGGGGGGTTATAGACACAAGAGAGAGAGGGAGAGTGAAGAGAGAGAGAGGGGGAGAGAAAGAGAGAGAAAGAGAGGAAAAGTGAAGAGAGAGAGAAAGAAAGGAAATGAATTAGTTAGAGAAAAGGATATCCATAGAGAAAGAGAGAGAGAGAGGGGGGGGGGGGGGGGGAGGGTAGAGGGATAGAGTGGTTGAGAGGGGTTAGAGAAGAAAAAACAGGGAAGGTGAAAATTATTAACCCCCAAAAGGGGAGAAAAAAACAAAATTAGAGAAATTAAGAGAAATACAGGTTTTTCCAAGAATCGAGAAACCAGTGAAAAGGGGATTGACAGGAAAGTAGGAATGAAAGATAGAATGACATAGTAGTAAAAATGCAAACAGAAAGAGAACACAAAGTAGTATGTTAATGAAATGACTTTGATAGAGAGCACTGTTACTCAAAATTGGATATTAATACACTGCGGCCACACTTCTGGAGTTGTTTCCCAAACCACGGGCTAGCTCCCTCACCCAAGCAAGTTCATTTTGATTCGATGCTTCACTTGACCTGGGTTGAGAGGAAAGTAGAACTTACGTTCGTTCCTTTTAATGACTGAGCCTCACTTCATTGGTCCTACCTGTGTGTAATTGATAATGAATGATAGTACAATGAAAACAAAAGGGGTGGAATCGTAAAGGAGAGGGTGAGAGAATAATATTATGAATGAAAGGCATGCAATGTTTTATTAAAAACGGAAAGTTATCGATGCAATGGAGGAAATGGGGAGAAGGAAATACAAAGTGTTAATGGTGTTACATGACTGTACATGTAATCATTAATCTGTTCAAGTTGTATTTATATATATATATATATATATATATATATATATATATATATATACATAAAATAAGACATGAACTATATAAATACAAAATGGTAGGTCTATTATAACAACGGGAATGAGTGATGAAGCTGTAATGTTTCATTCATTCAAAGTCAACGGGACGTAAATACGATTTCTAGTAATGCCTTGAATAATCCAAATTAGGCTTATGTATCAACATTAAGTGCTTATAATAAGACAGACCATCCGAGTACTTTTCTCTCGAATTTATTTCAATTCTTTTAAACAAAAGCAACTCTTTACCTCTAGTTTAAATCGAAAAATTCCGAGAATATCGTCAACATTAATACATAACCGTCTGTGAAGCTGCTAAAGTGTAACCTCACGCTATAGTGTAACCTAACGCCTAAGAAACTGAAAAAAGGTTCACTTCAGCGGATATGCTATATACACACTGATACACAGTGGAACCGTTATTGAGGAGCACACGCTAACCGTAATTTGTTGGGAAACACAAGCGAACCATAATAGTGGCTATCTGAAGGGACATCGCGAATCACAAACTTTGAAGTGAAATTCGTGATGAAAATATGCGACAAATCTCATATTTTGTCTCGATTTTTAAATTTATTTAGTTATATTCTATTTCCTTTATCTCTGCTTTCTTTCTCTTTCTCTCTCTTCCTCTCTTTCTTAATATATCTCACTTCTATAACCCCCCTCTCTCTCTCTCTCTCTCTCTCTCTCTTTCTCATCTCATTCTCTCTCTCTCTCTCTCTCTCTCTCGTTATCCTTCTCTCTCTTTCTCTACACTTCCCCCGCCCTTTCTGTTTTTCTCTCTGTCTCTCTCATCTTCTTCTTCCTTTTTCTTTCTATCTATTAATTGTTGTTTTGCTATAGCCGAGCTTTAGAGCCTTTCTACATTGTTGGAAGGCCCAACAATTTGATAGACACCAGGCTGATGGACACACTTAAGACACACTTCTGCATGGATTTTCAAAACATGTTTATGAAGACGAATATAGTGATGAAAGTACAACATTAGGGTTTTCTGCGTACAACACAAACCTAAATAAGTTATTGGGCACTCCTTCGTCAAATTCGTCTTCAAACATATTTGTTTTATAAATCATTGCAGAAGGACATCCTCTTTCGCATCATTATATAATTTAACTGAAATTTTGCTATAAAATATTAAGACAATTTTGGGCTCCCAACACTTTAGAGGGGCTGTGTTTATAGTGCGTTCATTACATACATTCAGAAACATAAATGAAAGCTCAATTTGATACGCTGACCGTTTTAAACGTAGTATAAATTCAAACATCTTTGGTTCTAACCAACCACATGGCCACATGATTGTTTCACGGTGAAAGAATAATGTCTGTGAAAATGTCAGGTGTTTAAGGCCCCTCTAAAGCTTTGGGAGCCCCACAAATTTCATGGCAAAACATTGATCTACATTTGCCACTCTCCACCCAGGTGTTAATTAATGGGTACCCGGTAAGATGCGAAAGCTAATGTGCTTAGATTAGCAAGTGTGCGCTTGAAAAAAAATATGACGCCTGGCTGGAATGCTCCCAAGGGAGTGAAGAATGTGCATACATTGTGTGCGGGTAAGCCTGAATCCATTGACCCGGGTAATTATATGATTGCAGGGCCCTCAGGGAGAACAGTATAAATACTGATGAGGCCAGGCGCGGATCCAGGTTTTTTCGGGGAGGTGGGGGTGGGGGGGGGGGGGAGCAAATTTGAAATTATGCGAGCCAAATATTGGTACGTAATGGTGACACCGGCAATGGCAAAAACGTTTGGGGGGGGGGGGTAGACGAAAAAAATCCCCATCACCCCACTCTTATATGCAGGTCCCGCTGAACATTTCTCGGCGGGGGTCAAGGGGTGGAGCCCCCAGAAGCTTATGGGGTATAGGCATTGAATTACTGTCAGATGAGCATATTTTGATACCTTATTTGTGACACTGGCAGGACACAAATTGGTGTGGGGTCCAGGGGGCGGAGCCCCCAGCAGCTCAGGGGTTTTATACATTAAATTACTGTCAGATGAGCATATTTAGATACCTTATTTGTAACTCTGGCAGGACACAAATTGACGTGGGGTCCAGGGTGCGAAGCCCCCGGAAGCTCAGGGGTTTGGGGCAATACGGTCAGATGAGCAATTAAAAAAAAAAATTATCTCCCTCAAAATCTTTATGGCTGATAAAGATATTTTGATTTTCATTATTTTTATTTTTATTTAAAGGGTGAGAAAAGAGTTTTAAAACGTCGAAACAATTTTGAAAAAACAACAACTAAATGATAAGTTAAAGCCCCTCTAAAGTGTTGGGAGTCCTACACATTAATGGAAGAAAAAAAAGTATGCACCAAAGCAAGCCATCAATTCAAAAAAAAAAAAATCACATCTGAAGGGGCACACCCCCCCCCCCTCAGACACCCCCTCCCCTTGCGTTCTTGTTCCTGTTAATTGAACTTACGACTGTTTTCTTTTTAATTTGGCAAAAATTATGCACCAAATCGAGCAATTTATGCATCAATTGAAAACAAAACTTAAACTCTGAGGGGGGTACATCCCTCTCAGACACCCCCTTCCTTCATTGCACGTCCATTCGCCTCCCCCCCCCCCCCAAAAAAAAAAAAAAAAAAAAAAAAATAACCTGGCGCTTAAGTGTAACCTGCTGCTAAAGGGTAACCTGCTGCTAAAATATAACCTGTTGCTAAAGTGTAATCTGCTGCTAAAGTGTAACTTGCTGCTAAAGTGTAACCTGCTGCTAAAGTGTAACCTGCTGCTAAAGTGTAACCTGCTGCTAAAGTGTAACTTGCTGCTATAGTGTAACCTGCTGCTAAAGTGTAACCTGCTGCTAAAATGTAACTTGCTGCTAAAGTGTAACCTGCTGCTAAAGTGTAACCTGCTGCTATAGTGTAACCTGCTGCTAAAGTGTAACCTGCTGCTAAAGTGTAACCTGCTGCTAAAGTGTAACCTGCTGCTAAAGTGTAACCTGCTGCTAAAGTGTAACCTGCTGCTAAAGTGTAACCTGATGTTAAAGTGTAACCTGCTGCCATGGGCGGTGCCACAGGGGGGGCGTGGGGGGGGGGGGGACAGGGGAGCACCTGTAAATTTTTTATTATTCATTTTCTCTAAAGCAGAAGTGTTTTAGGGGCAAATTTTTTGTTGCTTATTACATCCACAGGGGTATCCAAGTTTAAGTGAAAACAGACCAATATTGATAATAACAATTGGAAAAAACTGATCTGATCGACTCCTTAATTCTCCCAACTATATTATTACAATTTAATTAAAATTAAGGTGATTGTTAATCATCAAAAAGCAATGAATTGGCTCTATATACCATTCAAGACATTTAATTGTTGAAAGATTTAAACAAATCCTGTCTTACAGTATGTCTTATTTTCATGAAGAAAAAAAACGGTTGGGAGAATTCAACCAGAACGTCAATGACGTAGCGCTCATCCGCATCTCGCAACAACAAGTAACCAAAATAACAATATGTTAGATTTCATATTGAAAACGGTATTATAATACTATTTCCATGAAATGTAGAGGACTATTTATAACTGGATGAGCAGATGAGTAACTGTGAGGTAGATGCTGGACATAGTGTGGTAACGCATGACGGTCAGTCTCTAGATCTCATCACGCGTGCGCCTGGCCTCAGCTCAGCTAGCTAGCTCCAGACGTATACACGAACAACGAACGCGCGCCGGCATCACGACCGCTACGGCCGCGAGCCCGTTCGCCGAAGTGAACTTCTTTTTCAAAAACTTAGGCGGCAGGTTACACTTTAGCGGAGTTTTCACTTTAGCAGCTTAACAACCGTCTCTTAAACCTCAGTCATGCGAACCAGACCGGCTCCTGCATGGCAAGCAGCAGCGGAACATTACATTACTAAACTTCAAATGATCAAGAATGGTTCGGTTTAGCGGTGTGACTGAGGTAGCAATGACTTATACGATGACTAATAACAACAACCTACCTTGTAGTTCCTGCTTCGTCCTTTGTTGCTCTTAATCTCTTCACAGAGATCCTATAAGTTCAAAATAGATAGAGGACAATTTTGGAAAGCTGTTTTCAAGAACGAGATTCATATGTTTCACTTATGAAAGCAACTTAACCTACAAGATCACATTTTGACTTCAAGAATATTATAACGTACATGTCTAAATCATAATTATGACATCTTAATCATAAATTATGAGATCTCAAAAACTAGAAGACAAAATTGGCAACAACAAAAATGACACAGAAGAAAACTTACGTTGTATTTGCTGGTGGCTTGCTGCATCTGGTGACCAACTTTGCGGGACTGCATGGAGAGGGAAATAAAATTGATTTGGGAAAATAGATGTTACCATATGGTAAGAAGATCACCATTTTTATTGTTATAAATGAACTCTTTTTTTAACATAAAACATTTTTATTTTTTATAGTACTGGCTTCCATTGTACCATTAGTCCAATAAAAATATATCCAATTGAATTCAACATAATAATAATTACTGTTTAACATTATCTTTTTAATGCATGAAGTCACATTCTTCTTTTTAATTGTTATTGAACTACTATAATTTTATGTGTACAATTTATAACATGTTAAAAATGTTTTCTTGTATTTTAATGTAAATTTGACAACACCTGACTCCGGACTATTGCCATATTCTTAAAAAACAACAATAAAACCGAAATAGCATTGAACCATCATCAAGGAAATGAATAATTATGTGCTATCAGTTATTTAGTGCTACAAGGATACATAAGTTTGGGAGTCTTCCTTCATTAATGATGGTCGATCAGGTTTTGATGGCTACTCACCTTATAGCATGAGATAATGATGAAGATGATGTTGACAAGGACGGTTAAACCACCAAGGACACAGAGAGATGGTAAATCAAAGTGCTCCCAAACCTTATCACTTGAGAACAAAGAAGCCACGGCATTCTGGACTACAACAAGGCACAAGAACATCATACACCATAGCACGTAGTAATCCTATATAGGAATGAATCATAAGAATAATAACAAAATGAATGCGATTTCGTCTCTAATATAATAATAATAATAATAATAATAATAATAATAATAATATTTAATGTTTATATAGCGCTTAATACAAATGTCTCTATGTTCATTTATTGGTATAAATTGCTTCAATAATTCTATGGCGGTAACAAGAACTTTCTGGCCTTTTCGAAAATTCTATGACACTTTGACCTTTTCCGCCCAAAATCTAATCAGTTCATAACATTTCATCCGAGTTTAGTTTGGATCGCTTGAATGCTTTTCAATTTATTACGGTAATGACATATTGTCTGACAGTTTTTAACAATTTCATGACCATGTGACCTTTAACTTTTGACCTCTTTCACCTAGAATCTCATCAGTTCATATCCTTGTATGCTATTACGTACTTGATCCAAGGGTTGTTAAACTCCGCTCAATGGTTCTTGAGTTATCGTGGCAACGAAAGACAGGACGGAAGGACAACCAGAAAACACAATGCCTTGTGTACCACCTTCGGTGGCGGAGGCATGATAATAACAATAAAAATGTAATAATAACTTACAAAAAAAAAAAAAACGATTATAATAATAATGTAATAATAATAATAATAATGATAATAGTACTTCTACTACTTCTAATAATAATAATGATAACACCACTGTACTACTATTACAACTACTACTACTACCACTACTACTAATAATATTAATAATAATAACTGATTTAGTTAGATTAAATTGAAAGTAATATGAGGGTATTCTTTTCAAATTCTTTCTTACTCCCCCTCTCTTCCTCCCTCCCTTTCTCTCTCGTTCTGATTCGCTTTTGCAATTCATATGGTTACACTGTTGTTTTTCAATGTCAGGACTTTTCTTACATCATTTCAAAAATAGCCTATCAATTATCAAGTCTGTCAATGAATGAACAAATACTGCAAACAAATAAATCAACACATAACTTATTCAGAATCAGTTATAATCATGTACCGGCATATCAAACATTTTAGTCATCTGTTGACCAACTTAATGTCACGAAAGTACTCATACTCATAGTCATATTAATGTATTACTGCCATTAACTACCTCCTGATATAACTTACGAGAAGCGTTTGGTATGATGTGTTCGGTAGGCTCTGTGACACAACAAACTTGAAGGCGACAGCGGTAAGAAGCAGTGTTAACGTTACACTTAATCTATCTTCGGGTGCGTCTGCACTGACAGCATAAGATGTGAAAGCCAGGGGAGTGATCAGGAACTGAAACAGAAAATAAATATGCCTAAATATCCAGCAATATCTTGCAAAGTGAAAGAAGATTCGATGATGTAAACTAAAATATTTTAATGGATGAGGAAGAACAGGAAACAGAAATCATAATTATACAATACTTTGAGTTTATAATTACAAAATAATGTCTAATTGCCATCGACCTCGTTACTATACTTTCGGATTGGTTTCACATTGTATGGAGAAAATTCATAACATGGATCCCTAATGATATTTGAGAACAACTAAGTATCATGCTGTTGTATATAGAATGAATTTACCAAGTTATCAAGGATCTTCGGCGGCAAATTTATTGTATCGAACATATATGTACATAACCAAATGAATAGGAATTAGGGAATGTCGTTTGTCTTCAGCTTTGTAGATCAACAATAACATTCAGATTTGTGCTTAACGTGATATACTTTGTAGCCTTGAAAACACTTATAGAGTGACGATGTGGGTTCCACAGTACAATATCATCCAGTTATTTATGCACATAGCAACTAAAAATATTATAGAAAATTAGAAATTAACTTCATTCCCTTAAAGAAACATTATCATTGGTTCTGATGGGGAATTTGACATCGTTTAGGTGTTTACCCCCAAAACGGGTGATATATCAACAAGAGAGAACTTCAATTTATTAATGAGCGACAAGTCTTACGTTATGCGCACACCATCCACCATTTTCAAGAACCGCCTCGTATAAAAACTAAATAAATCAGTTTACTAGAATATGAATAATAATAATATGCAGCATGCATCTCATT